TAAGGGATATTTAGGGCTCTGTTCGGAGTTGGCAGACAGCTTTGCTTGTCCAACTTCAAATGGTGAGAACCGAAGCTAGAAAATTTCAAATGAAGTATGTGATACCTTGTTGGAAATTTAATGGAGTCTAGATTAACATACTAAAAGATGATAATTTATAACAAGTGAGTAGCGCACAGTGACTAGAAAACAGAAGCATGTACAGTTGTGGAAAAATCGCAAAAGTGATATTTGAGCTAATTGGACTTATGGGAACCCTTAGTAACTTATAATAAGTATATATACGGCTTGGATGAGTGAAAATAATCTAAGTTACCTTAGTGATCCTTGAGTGTGATTCGAAGATTATGCAAGGTGCTTAAACTACGTGGTTGATTGTGTAATAAGTGAACACTTCATAATACACTAAAATACGTAATTATGTAATAATTGGCCTAGACTTGTAATGGGAATATTATTGGCATGTAAGAATGAAATGTAGAATCATTAAGTGATTGAGTATTAATGATGTAAATGATTCCTGCTCAGTGAGGTAAGCTCCTGGTTTTGGTTGCTCTTCTCTCTTGTGGCCCCACCATGATGGTAGGAATTATAGTTGTATTGTATGAAAGTATGTGGTATAATGTATATGTGCATTCATTCACATTTATATAGAAGTTATATGATTCTTGATGTTATGATGATGCACTGATGATATATGTTTTGAGAATCCTGGCCAGTGATTATGGTATGTAGGCTGCCTATGACATGACTCTAGGAACTATTTCATACAGAGGTTGTGTTGACTGTCTATGGCTTGACCCTGGAGTCACACATGTGTAACCGTCTATGGCTTTGACCCTAGGGTTACACAAGGATGATATGATGATGTTATGTTTATGTTGTATGCTTGTATTATATGCTATATATCTGACTTGTCATGCATGAAGTGGGCTCAGGGGATTAGAGGATCCTCTATGAACCTTGAGCTTACTGAGATGTGTTATCTCACCCCGTTTGGGGATATCATTTCAGGTACCCAGAGTAGTGGTGATGCTTCTAGGGGCAAGCCCCCCGCCTTGGAGTAGTGAATGACGCTGATGATTTATCTTTATTATGTTTAGACTCTACGATGGCAAGTATATGTATTAACATGTCCTATTATCTTATGTTGAGACTATGTTATGTATTTATTTAGGCTTATGATTGTATGATTGAAGCCATGGATTATTTACTGATGCTTAGACATTTGGAGATTAATATAGACTTGACGCATGTATTCAGTTATTTGGGCATGGAGCTATATTGTTTGTATTAGGTTATGTGTATGTGTGGGACCCATGTTCCCAGTTATCTGAAATACAGCCATTATGCTGTCTGTGAGACTCCGTTTGGAATGACACTTGATGTCATATCCGGATGGTCAACGGCCACTAGTGATGGCCAATGGTTTTAATCAGTAGACTTAGATGTTAATGATACGCGAATGCAATATATCAGATGAACGCTTTGAAAATGTTTTAGAAAATATTTTGGAAAAAGTTTACTTGTATTTTTATAAGACGCTTTATTATTCTTTTAAACTAAAGTCTTTCATTGTGTATGCTAAATATCATGTGTGTTAACAATCGGAGTACTACGGGGTGTTACAATGGTGGAATAGTGTTAGCCATGTGGCTTAAGTTGGTTTAAGTGGGGTGGGTTCCACATGCCACCTCACACAATTCAAATCATCCCCTTCACACACTGATCTCCAATTAATTCATGAACTATCCATTAAATCAAAAAATTTAACATTCACCAAAGTCCTTTAATTACCCTTAAACAAATGAATCCGGAGTTTCCCGATAATTTGGTGAAATTATTGTTTTACCCATAGTGGTGTACCGTTGGCATGTTTCCCAAAAACCCTAAAATTCATCAAATAATATCACTAAGCTTATTTCTTGGTTCTAAGTACCTTTTTCAACATATATTCAATCTTAGAGCCTTAATCTCACTTTTCACATTTTTCGGTGCAACTGTACTGCAATATTTCATCCGGTAAAAATACTATTTATCAGTTTTCCAGAAATTTGGCTAACCACTCAATTTTCCGTTCTGAATCCATTTCTAGTATTATTTTAATCAATTGGGGCCTAATTTTATCATTTTACAATTTAGGGTTACGTATTTGTTGATTTACCGTTTTAACCTTCGTACTTATTTTGACCCCAAACTTAATATTTTCACTACACATACCCTCAATTTAACTATTAATATGTATTTTAAATATGTTAGGTGTTATACCAGTTATGTTTGGCTAATTTCTTTAGTAGTTAGGGTTACAAATCTAAAGTGAATCTTTGTGTGATTTAATTTGGTTTTCAATAAAATCTATCTCCAATTATTGTGTGTTTATCTTGAATTTACTATTCAATTTCTTGTATGACTTGATCAACCATATAGGAATAAAGATGGTTTGATTTTGATTAGAAATAGTTGGGATCTTAATCTGGACTAAGATAAACACCAATACTTGCATGTTCTACATATAGACGTGTAGGAATTGCAAACATGTGAGATTCATTGCGCTCAAGGCTTAATCTAAAAAAGGTTTCTAAGTGATGGGACGTAAATTTGTTCCCTTCTAAGCCCATTTTGATGGCAAAATACCATACGTTCCCTCATCTGATGAGCAACTTCAACATGAAAATCACTTGTTTTACACATTTGTGACAAAAACACAGTGGGGGAACGAATGGTAACGTACTCCTTTAAAATATATTAAAAGGGGAACAGACTGAGACGCATTTAATGCACCTGCTCCATTCATTTAATGCTTTTGTACACTTTGCAGATAACGTAGAGTTAAAGACTTCTAAAAAGCAAGGCGGTGCACCAACTGAGCAGCTGGAAACGTGAAGAGCAGAGAATCAAGAGTTCTCATTGGCTGAAAACAAAAGCAAAGCACATGAAGGTATGCAAACAACGACTAATCATCACCAAATCCTGTTCCATCCAGCAATTCGCGCAAGCTTCACACTCTGCTGCCACCGTCCCGTCTCCTCATTCAAGCAACTAGCTCCAAAGGAATTACAGTCTTGCCACTCCTGTTCCAGCTATAAATAGGACTACCCTCACACAAAAACATCATCGAATCCTAGAGGGTTTGCAGTCCGAAAGGAAGAGATCACTTAGTAGTAGTTAGTAACTTAGTTTAATTTTAAGTTGTAACTGTAGTTAAGTGACACCCCTTCTTCTCTTCTCTGTAAACAACCATCAAGACTCCTCTCGAGCAAATACCCATCTTTCTCCATTTTCTGTTTTCTTTTGTAAACTGTCTTTTAAATTAATATAAGTGTTTTTCTCTTCGTTCCAATCGTTATCTCTTGACTGAATCTCGAGTCTATGTGATCTCAGTTGAGAATAATTATGTTTAAACTATCAGCCATGAGCTGAACTATCTGTGGAACGGGTAAACTGTGAAACTCTTAAAGAACTGTTTTCAAAACTCTTGACCGAAGCTTTTTGTATTTCTTTGGCTAAGTAAGCTATATTCATTGTGCGCCAATGGAAATTGGGTACATACTGAGAAAGGAACTTCCATAAGGAAGGGATTTCAGACAGCTTAGCCATTGGGGGAAGGTATATGTCATGGCAAAAACCCTACTGGCCACCTTAGGAATAAGGGGCCAACTCGTCCATTTTAAGGTTCTGAACTAAGTACCTGTTGGAGTCAAGGGAGCCATAGGAATATGGAAACTTGTGAGCCATCTAGACAATGAGCTGTGGAATCAGAGTTGGCAGGCAAAGAAACTGGGACAAAGCCAAAATGTGCTAAGTCTTGAGCAGAGAAAACAGCCCCTTTAAGAGTGAAGCAGTGAATCCGTTCCTTCTGTTAAACTGTTTTAACCACCACCCTGTTGTCTCTTGATTATAGTTATTTCTGTTATAGTAGTTTTTATTTTATTTTATTTAGTACTTATAAAAACTCCAATGATTATTATCTCACCTTCTTCTAAACAGGAAGGATCACATACATAACGCAGCGAGAAACTGTTTGCCATCAGATTGAACCTACTGTTCCTGAGGAACGTTGTCAAGACAATAGGGAACGTTTGACCAGACGGTTCATTTACTAACATTTCTTCTCATTTTCATTCTTTATAAACAGTGATAAAACAATAATTAGCACTCTATCCTCGTGGGAACGATAATTTGGGCATTAATACTCCCTTTATTACTTGATGCGTGCACTTGCGCACTTGTGTTGGAACTAAGGGACGAATCTGTGTTTTGCAAGAACAGAGGAATGTCCCCTATCAGAACTTATATTTTTCCACCATCTGCAAACCACCCAACAAGTTTTTGGCGCCGTTGTCGGGGATAGAAACACTAACTGTTGTTCGTATCATTGTTTTCTAACACATATACTATATATCTGACTTTACTTTTATATTTTTTTCTCTTTATCACTGAATCTGCTGTGCGTATATATACCCTGTGCTATTGGTTTATGAGTGAAGAGTTTGAAACAGACTCTGACCACTCCATTGAAGTACTTGAGTTTCTCTTTGATCCTGAGCCAGAACGTACACTCCATAGGAGAAGAAGGAACCTCAGGGAAGAATTTCCTGAAAACATGGCTGATCACAATAATAACAATGAAAAGGTTCCCCCTGAACAGAACTTCAGAACTTTGGCTGCTCAACAGACCAGATAGGGGAGTAATCCTTCCCCCTGTAGCACCAAATTTTGAACTAAAACCTATCATGTTCCACATGATTAGGGAAGCAGGGGTCTTCAATGGACTCCCTGTAGAAGATCCTTACACACACCTCACAACATTCCAAGATATTTGTGATAATTTTAAAGCTGAGGGTGTAACAGAGGAGATAATGAGAATGAGGTTGTTCCCTCACTCCTTGGGCTTAAAAGCTAAAACATGGATGAAAACTCTCACCCCTGGATCAATCCACACATGGGAAGAACTCTCTAACAAGTTCATAGAGAGGTTTCTCCCAATGTCTCGACAAGCTAATGTTAGAGCTGAAATCTCTAACTTCAGAATGTTTATGGAGAAAATCTCTATGAAGCATGGGAGAGATACAAGGACATCATAAGAGAATGTCCAAACTATGGGGTAGAGAGTTGGGGAGTGTTACAATCTTTCTATAAGGGACTTGACCATACTTCTCAATCTCACCTAGATTTTGCTGCAGGAGGATATTTCTTTACAGGAACACTTGAATCAAGGTACAAAATCATAGAAGGGACTGCTGAAAGATGTCTCCAATGGGCAATAGACAGAGTGAGCCCAGTGAGGAAGCCAGGCATGCTAGAACTGGATAAACAAACAGCCATGGAAGCCCAGCTGGCATCACTCATGAATGAAGTGAAGAACCTGAGAGCTGACCAAGAAGCACCAAGGATGGAAGTCTTACAACTCACAGCAACTGAAACAGAACCATGCTCAGCCTGTGGTGACCTTCATAACTCAACAGACTGTCCATCCACTGCATTGGTGTGTTATGCAGAAAATTTTGGCAATAGGAACTTCACCAGAGACTATCAACAAGCAGGACGAAATACACATTCAAGCCCTGGAGGAACTATCATTAAGGATCAGAACCACAACACCCAATGGAGGCCACCCATTAACCAGAGACCATTCAACAACAATCAGCAGCAGTATCAGCAAGGTAGCAGCAGTGGAACATTTGAACAAAGAAGAAACAACTACGTTCCGTTCCACAGAGATGACCAACGCATCAACACCCTGGAAAATTATGTCAAGGAATATGTCACCAGGAATGATGCAGTGGTCAGGAACATTGAGTCCCATCTGGGGCAGATTGCTGCCAACCTTCAAACCAGAACACCAGGATCACTACCAGGGGACACTGAGGTCCCCTCAACCATTTCTGAAACCCCTTGAGAGGTAAGTACCATGTCTAGCTAAAGACATTAAACTAAGTTTTGGGCACTGTTTGCAAATTCCAACATCACTCCCACCACTCATGAACTTCTGCTAGTTGGGGGCTGCAAGTCCAAATCTACTGCATCATTAAGCACATTCCTTTTGATGCAGTAACCCTCATCTATAACAGCCTGAAGAAGGACATGAGGAAGACCACAGTCTGCCTCCCCTGCCTCATCACCAAGCTCTGTTTGAAAGATGGTGTAGAAGAACACCCATATGACATCAAACAGGTGGCATCTATCCTTGATGCTAAGACCTGGAACGGTCTTAAAAGCACCTACATTGACACCACCCAACCTATTCCTGCCAATCTCAGACGCTCCCCCACCGGTGATGATGAAGAAGAAACCCCTATGGTCTCACAGAAGAAGGCCACCAAGACGACTCCTTCAAAATCTTCCCCTTCTGCCCACGTTCCAGCAAGGAGAACTGTCTCTCCTCCCACCAAGGTAAAGAAGGATGCCCTTGTTGCTACTGATGGCAAACAGGGCAAGAAGAAATCTCCTGCCAAAGTTCCCCCAAGAAAGGGGAAACATTAGAGTCAGAGGCTAAAGAGGGTCCTTAGCAGCAACAGTCCAGAGGGAGCATCCTCTGCAAAACCTATCACCCTCTCTGACAAGGAGGAGGAGAGTGAAAACAATAAGCCTTTGGCAAAAAAGCTGAAGGCTGGCAGAATGTCAGCAACCAAACCAGCTGCCAAGGAGACGTCCCCAAGCAGCTCAGACTCTACATTTTCTTACATTCCGTCCCCACCACCTGTTCACTCTCCACCAAGACAAATCACCCCACAACCCTCTCCTAGGCAGCAACAAGGAGAGGGAAGAACAGAAAAAGAAGCAGCATCTGCTGCAGAGACATCAGTGGCTGAGCAAGAGGCTCAGCCACAGAAGAAAAATGACAAAGGAAAGGGGGTTCTCATAGAACCCCCTAAGAAGAAAGCAAAGACAACAGACCCCAGGAAGATCAATCTGGGAGGTCCTCTGTCATACCCTGTCATCCGTCCTGATACATCTAGGGACGAAGCTCTTGCCAGAGCTTTGGCAGAAGAAGAAAGGATGGCAATTCCTCCACTGATGGAGGAACAAGCTGAAGCCATGTCCTCCTCATCCAGACCACCAGTGGATGAGCCCAACCCAACACTTGTCATACCTTCTGCTACTGGCAACATCCAGCAGAAGAGGCAACCACCCTCCTCCCTCACAACAGCAATCCGCATCTCAGCTAGGAAAAGATCCCAAATTGGGATTGCTGAGATCTTTGAAATATTGGGGGAGAAATTAGAAAAACGGTTGCCAGCCAAGAAGTCTGTTCCCCAACCTGATATGACAAGCAGTAATGAAGAGCTGAAAGCTCTAAGGGACGGGCTGGCACAACTCTCATCTGCCTTCAACACCTTCCAACAACAGCAGAAGGAGGAGAAAGAACAACAACTCAGCACCATAAAAGCAGCCATCAAGGAAGCCAGTGCTGCATCCTATGAATCAACACTCCAAGCAGTACAAGGAGAAATTGCTAAAGCGGCTAACTCCCTAATCCTTTCCAACTCTCTGCGCAACTACACAGCAGAGCTCTTACTCAACAGACTCGTCTCCAAACAAGCTGAAGAACGTAAGGAAACCAAAGAAACCATCAGGGCCTTTGGAACGTACCTGGAGAGGAGAATTTATGAGTTGGAAATGAGACTGCTGGATGTTGAAAAACAAGTCATCCATTTTCGCAGTGGCAGAACCATGATGAGGTCCTCCATCAACTCCCTGGTTGCAATTATCAGTGATCTACTAAAGGATGCTGAGAAATGGCTCCCTGCACATGAAGTCCTCAGATTAAACGATCTGCTCAAGAGGAGACCATTGACACAGGAGGAGATTGATGAAGCCAAGGAAGCTGAAGTTGCAAAAAGGAACCCTTGGGACAGAAGACCTCCCCAATGAAAAGGAGAAAACCCTCCTATCTATCTTAGCTTAGTTTATTTTTCAGTTCTGTTTTAATTTCTTTTCCTTTCCGTTCCTTTGTAATTAATCTTTTTTGCAATGAAAAAGACTTTTTGATCAAACTGTTTGGTATATCCATGCATTTCAGTTATAGTATTAAGATTGCTCAATTCTTTTGGATTAACTAACATACATGAAACATAAAGTCACTGACTAATCATACTTGTTCTTTCTCTGAGTACTTGAAAATAGAAATAGAGCAGGGAATTTAATACTCAGATTTTTGAAAGAAGCTGATCTGTGTGAACTCAAACTGGTAAGGAACGGAAAAATGCCAAACACCTACTTCTGAGAGCGTTCCTGAGGTGTAACCACAATGAAACTTCTCAGCTTGCCTTAATGCTGTAAGTACTGCTGAAGATAGATGAATTCTGCTGTCAAGGATCAAAACAGAATCACACACTCACCTCACCTCCATCATACACCATCTGTTCAAACAGAAAGAACAAGGAACGTACTCAACAATGAACAAAAAAAGGACAGAAGAAAAACAAAGAAAAAGGGGAACAACCATCCCAAAGAATTCAAGAAAAACCAGAAATCCTTCCTCCAAAGGGGGAAAAGGTTCAAGAAAAGGAGTTCCCTCAAAACAGAAAAAGTCCAAGTTCAAAGGCACAAAAGCTAAACGTTCCTTGATCCCACAAATCAGACCCCCACTTCTTCCACATTTCCATACACTTACCCATCAAAGAATCCTTGGAATGAAAGACAGCTGTACTTCATAGGAACGCAACAGAAAGGCAAGTTCTGAAGAATCTCATCCAGGAATGGACAGAGCAAACACCAACCCATGTGTGACAGTGAGACAAAAGATCAGCAACCTTCTCTTATCTGGGGACATAATCCTCTTACTGTTTACTATGGAGAGTAGTTCATTTTCTGAAAAGTTCATGGTTGCTCAAGTTCCTTTCTGTTATGCTATTCTTTTAAATTAGGCAGACCAATACAATATTTCTGAGTTGTTTGAGGACAACCAACAGTTTAGTTTTGGGGTGTTTGATGGGACGTAAATTCGTTCCTATCTAAGCCCATTTTGATGGCAAAATACCATATGTTCCCTCATCTGATGAGCAACTTCAGCATGAAAATCACTTGTTTTACACATTTGTGATAAAAACACAGTGGAGGAACAGATGGTAACGTATTCCTTTAAAATATATTAAAAGGGGAACGGGCTAAGATGCATTTAATGCACCTGCTCCATTCATTTAATGCTTCTGTACACTTTGCAGGTAACGTAGAGTTAAAGACTTCTAAAAAGCAAGGCGGTGCACCAACTGAGCAGCTGGAAACGTGAAGAGCAGAGAATCAAGAGTTCTCATTGGCTGAAAACAAAAGCAAAGCACATGAAGGTATGCAAACAACGACTAATCATCACCAAATCCTGTTCCATCCAGCAATTCGCGCAAGCTTCACACTCTGCTGCCACCGTCCCGTCTCCTCATTCAAGCAACTAGCTCCAAAGGAATTACAGTCTTGCCACTCCTGTTCCAGCTATAAATAGGACTACCCTCACACAAAAACATCATCGAATCCTAGAGGGTTTGCAGTCCGAAAGGAAGAGATCACTTAGTAGTAGTTAGTAACTTAGTTTAATTTTAAGTTGTAACTGTAGTTAAGTGACACCCCTTCTTCTCTTCTCTGTAAACAACCATCAAGACTCCTCTCGAGCAAATACCCATCTTTCTCCATTTTCTGTTTTCTTTTGTAAACTGTCTTTTAAATTAATATAAGTGTTTTTCTCTTCGTTCCAATCGTTATCTCTTGACTGAATCTCGAGTCTATGTGATCTCAGTTGAGAATAATTATGTTTAAACTATCAGCCATGAGCTGAACTATCTGTGGAACAGGTAAACTGTGAAACTCTTAAAGAACTGTTTTCAAAACTCTTGACCGAAGCTTTTTGTATTTCTTTGGCTAAGTAAGCTATATTCATTGTGCGCCAATGGAAATTGGGTACATACTGAGAAAGGAACTTCCATAAGGAAGGGATTTCAGACAGCTTAGCCATTGGGGGAAGGTATATGTCATGGTAAAAACCCTACTGGTCACCTTAGGAATAAGGGGCCAACTCGTCCATTTTAAGGTTCTGAACTAAGTACCTGTTGGAGTCAAGGGAGCGATAGGAATATGGAAACTTGTGAGCCATCTAGACAATGAGTTGAGGAATC